AACGGATTCGCCAGAGAAACTCATCAAGTGGAGGCGGAGAATAAAGACCGTTCGGGGGTAAATGTATTCATTGAGAAGGGTTCTCCCAAATTGCTTCTAAGTTTTTTTAATGAAAAGTAACGATTGCAGCAATCAGCGGCTTTTTGGCGGATTACAAATCTGGAGGGAGCTGCGGCGCTGCATTGAAAAGTACCCCCGCCTTCGCACGGGGCAGGCGGTTCACAGGAGCGGCCCGAGGGGCGGGGGTCCGGGAGCAAGACAAAGGCGGAGGAGGGGGGCGCGCACGGAGGCGGGAGACTCGGGGCGCTAGGGAGCTAGCCCCAGAGAGGCGGGCTCCGAGGTGTCAGCCCAGAGCAGGCTTGACACGGAGCCCCCACCGCGGTAAGCCAGGAGCAGAGGGCAGGAGAGGGTGGCAAGGGAGGCCCTCCACAGCACCACCACCTTTGGGTGATTTCGGGCCTCTGGAACCCGGAAGGTATTTTGAGGGGCCAGGTCGTCTCGGTGATGGGTGGGGCAGTTGAAAGCGCCACCTAGCCACTATTACCCTCACTACCGGCCTTTGCACGCTAGCTTGTCCTAGGCATGCCTAATTTTGCACCGTGGGAACACGATCTTCCGGCACAGGGGTCTTCTCCGGGTGTGCCAGTCAGAAGGAGGGAATTGAGTCTAAATAGTACAATGCCCCTCCTCTAGGCAGCAGCAAAATATCTTCAGACCGAGCCAAAGGCTTCCAAACGGCTCACGAATGGTCTCTGACACTGCCGAATCCACCGCAAAGCATCTCCCGCAGAGCGGTAGTGAGCCCCTTCCCCTGGCCCTCCCTGAGCCCCACAACGCAGGAAGTCGCCCTGGAAAACGGGAGAGGAGCACAGACCAGCGTGCAAGAACAACCCGGTGTTCCCACGGAGGCTGAAATCAGCTTCATCCATTTCTGCCTTTTCGTTCAAGTCCTTTTTTTTTTTTTTTTAAATAGCATATCTTACTAGCAGAGGGTGGAAGGTGTTGTTCTTCATTCGGACTTTTTAAAACTCTCTGGAGTAGAGAAGCAGAGAGCCTAGAAGCCAGAGGAAGAGAAAAAAGCGACTCCCTTTCCTGGGTCCTCCTCAAGTGCAAGAATAAACCCAGCAAGGCAGGTCCTTGGCGTTGAAGGTTTAACTTTTTTTCTTTGCAGCTTGTCAATGCGACCATTGCTTTGATGGGACGCTCCTCAAGGTGACACATTTCTGAACTTCACCCTCTTTTCAAACTAACTCCCTACCTCCTTGTTAGTGGCCAGCTCTGAACTTCTGCAGAGTGTTTTTGTGTGAGTCAGGGCTCATTCACGGCGCCTTTGTAGGCCCCTTCTCCTTTCAGGCCACAGCGTGTTACACCAATTAAAGGGCGACGTGCTGTAAATGTAATGGGCCGCGCTGCGATTGTTCCTGACAGGCAACAAAACACATAGATCCACCCCTTAGATTAGGCCGTTGAAGGGGAGGTTGAGGCCGGTCAGTTTACTGAATAGTTTGTGAACTGTAATTCTGAGGGCTCATGTGAAAAAAAAACCCGCTCTTCCCACCTCCCTAGACTTGCTTCTCCGCAGAAGCTCTGAGAAAGAAAGGAACAAGAAGAAAAAGTGACATCCATGGGGCAGAATGGGGTCACTAGAGGGAGAAAAAAACCCGCGTGAGGGGCTTGTTCTGTCACTCGGGCAATCCAAAGAGAGCCCTCGGCTCTCCCCCTCCCCCACTCTCTGCAAGCATCCTCCACCCCACCCACACACACACCCCACCCCGCCTTCCTCCTTGCTGGCTACTCCAGCCTTCTCCCCTGCAGTGGGTACTTGAAGTCAGGCTAGAAGTGAGGTCAGATTGTCCTGGAATGTTGCATAGGAGTTTGACCTGGCCCTAGCCGGTCACTGATGTGATGTCTCCCAGGCTGCAACTACTCACACACCTGCCTCCCAGGGCTGGACCCTCAGCCTTGGGCTTCTAGTCCTCCAACACCCACGTGGGTTCTGAAAAGCCTACCCTAGCCATTGCCTGGGCTGTCTCCCAGGAGTTCCCCTTCTCTGGTGGTGCAACTCTCTGATCACCTGAACTTTAGGGAATGTATTTCACTTGGAGATGGAATTTGCTGCTGCTTTCTTTACAATTCCTAGAGCCCAGAGAAGTGCTTAGACCTAGGATCCTGAGGAGGGAGAGCCCCTGGGCTCCAGCAGGTCATGTCACACCAATTTGCTTCTGGAACAGCGTTTCTTTTTTATTTTAAAATTTCTTTTGTTACATGTATTATCCATTCATGCGTGTGTGCATGTGTGCACACTTGTGACAGTGTGTGTGTGTGTGTGTGTGTGTGAGAGAGAGAGAGAGAGAGAGAGAGAGAGAGAGAGAGAGAGAGAGAG